AATCCAAATCTGACAGTACACCGAAGTCCGAAATGATCATACAAAGCTATTGGAATCATCAAAATTCCATTCTGTAGTCGTTTGCTCAAAAGTCAAATCTTTGGTCAAACTTAAGAAATCTTTAGCCTTAGATTTCTAGATTCCGTTAAATGGCGATAATTTGAGCTAGGGACCTCCGAATTCGATTTCGGGCATATGAACAAGTCCCAAATTACGATACGGAACTATTGGAATGGTCAAAACTCAGATTCGGGTTTGTTTGCTCAAATTGTTGATCGAAGTCAACTCAATTGAGTTTTAAAGCTCTAATTCACATTTTAATCCATTTTTCACATAAAAACCTTCTGGAAAATTATACGGACTGTGCACACAAGTCGAGGAATGATTAATAGTGCTTTTCAAGGTCTTAAAATACCGAGATGATTACTTAATTTAAATATTACATTTTGGGTCATCACAAGACGGCATAGATCTCCAGTAGGTTGGTTTGAGCCGGGCGAGGCTAGGCTTTTGCGTACAGACTTGGTGCAGGATGCTTTAGATAAGGTAAAAGTGATTCAGGAGCAGCTTCGTACAGCTCAGTCAAGACAAAAGAGTTATGCTTACAGAAAGGTTCGTGATGTGTCTTACGTGGTTGGGGAGAATATTCTACTGAAGGTTTCACCCATGAAGGATGTTATGCGATTTGGGAAGAAGGGCAAGTTGAGCCCTCGGTTTGTTGGACCATTTGAGGTGCTTCGGAAGATTGGGGAGGTGGCTAATGAGCTTGCTTTACCACCTAGATTATCGTGTGTGCATCCGGTATTTCATGTTTCTATGCTCCATAAGTATGTTGTTGATCCATCTCATGTTTTGGATTTCAGCACGGTTTAATTAGATGCTGATTTGACTTATGATGTGGAGCCAATGGCTATTTTGAAGCGGCAGGTATGAAAGTTGATATCAAAGCATATAGCTTCAGTGAAAGTACAGTGGAGAGGTCGGCCCGTGGAGGAGGCTACTTGGGAGACCAAGCAGGAGATGCAGAGCAGATATCTAAATCTATTTGAGGGGGAGGATGTAACGACCCGGCCGGTCGTTACATGAGTTATATCCCTGTTTCCCCCATTTCTGCTTCTTTATATGTTCCTTAGTTGTATTTTATCGTATCGTGTTTGTTGGTTCGGGTTAGGAGTGGTTTCGGTGTGGAATGAGACACTTAGTCTCCTATTTAGAAGTTTAAGTTGGAAAAGTCAACCGGATGTTAACTTTTGTATAAATGATCTCGGATGTGAATTATGATGGTTCTGTTAGCTCCAGTAGGTGATTTTGGACTTGGGAGTGCAACCAGAATGTGATTTTGAGGTCCGTGGTAGAATTAGGTTTGAATTGGCGAAATTGAAAATTTGGCGATTCTCGGTCGGTAGTGGAAATTTCGATATAAAGGTCGGAATGGAATTTCGGAAATTGGAGTGGGTCCGTAATGTCATTTGTGACGTATGTACAAAATTTTAGTTCATTCGAAGGTGATTTGGTAGATTTTGGCATCATTTGCAGAATTCGAAAGTTTAGAAGTTCTTAGGCTTGGAATCCTAGGGTAATTTGGTATTTTTATGTTGTTTTGAGTGTTCCGAAGGTTCGACTAAGTTTGAATGTTGATATGTGACTTGTTGGTATTTTTGGTTAGGTCCCGAGGTTCTCGGGATTATTTCGGATGGTTATCGTTGAGTTTGGAAATTTGGTAAATGCAGCTGAAGCTGCTGATTCTGTCTCAACCGCACTTGCGGAGTGGGAACCGCAGATGCGAGGTCCGCAAAAGCTAAAGGGGATCGCAGATGTCGGATTTGGAATCTAAAGCTGGATCGCAGGTGAGGAAGGTGGAGCTCGTAGGTGCGGGGAATGGACCGCAGAAGCGGTGTTGGGCGATTAAATGAAAATCATAGGTGCGGTTGTTTGGACCCCATAAGCGGTTGCGCAGGTGCGAGAAAAGGGCCGCAGGTGCGGAAATGCTTGGGCAGAAGGTATAAATTGGACCCTTCGTAAAATTTGAGTTATTTCCACCATGTTTATTCGAACTTGGAGCTTTTTGGATGATTTTGAAGAGGGAATCAAGGGGACATACATTGAGGTAAGTTACTTGAGCTTAATACTTGTGATTATGGTAATTTTCAGTTGTGTAAGCACGAAATAGTAGAAACTAGGGATAAAATTGAGGGGATTATGGCTTGAAATTGGAGAGTTTGATTTGGGTATTTGAGGGACCATTTGATGTCGGATTTTGATGAATTTGGTATGTATAGACTCGTGAGTGAAAGGGATTTCGAGTTTTATGATTCTTTCGGATTTCGAGACGTGGGCCCAGGGGCCAGGTTTGGGTGAATTTCAGAATTTTTGTATAAATTGATAGTTTTTCGTAAGGAATTGGTTCATTGGCCTATATTGATTACATTGTATTGCTTTTGGTTAGATTCGGGACATTTGGAGACTGATTCTAAAGGCAAGGGTGTCGCGGAGTAGGGATTTGACCGGTTTGAGGTAAGTAATGATTGTAAATCTAGTCGTAAGGGTATGAAACCCCGAATTTCACATTATTTTACTATTAAAGTGACACACATATTAGGTGATGAGCGTGTGGGCGTGCACCATTGGGGATTGTGACTTGGTCTGTCTCGTAGCAACTATAAAGTTGCATATTTGACTGAAAACTATATGATACTTATGTATTTTAGAAAGAACTACTATAAAATGGGTTGAATGCCTTATTTGGACCTTGTGCCAAAGATATCTGGACCCTCAGGGGTCTTTTCCTATTATCCTCTCACTGTTTTGATTTAAGATCTAAACTCAGTCATGTTGTGTTTACTGATTTCATAACTCAATCTTTATTACTCTGTTTTGATGCATAAAATGATATTTTGGGTTAAACACCCTGTTTTACTGATAGCCCGAGTGGCTTGAGAGGTTTTTGATTGAGTGAGGCTGAGGTCCTATGTTGTGAGGATATTATGGGATCGGGTTGCGTGCCGTAGAATAATGTTACTGATTTATGATCATGAGAGGCCATGGGCCTGATTGATTTATGCCACGAGATGGTTTTTATAGCGCTTGGGCTGTAGGAGCCCCTCCGGAGTCTGCACACCCCTAGTGAGTGCGGATACCCTGAGTAAGTGATATGATGTTTTTCCCGATGGGCAGTTCTTGATTCATGTTATGCCCGAGGAGCTATCCACGAGCGATTGTGAGGTTTTCCCGATGGGCTGTTTATAATCCTTGTTTGCCCGAGGGGCTGCTCACGAGTGATGCTTTGCCCTAGGGGCTATTTATGTTTTCATCATTTTTACTTACTGTTTTATCACCTTGTTGGAAAACTGTTGAAAAATATTTTTATACGGTTTTATTGAAACTGGATTTTTAAACGAGATGTTTTTCCTACTGCTCAGTCTTGATTTACTTTTATTACTTACTGAGTTGGTGTACTCACATTACTCCCTGCACCCTATGTACAGATCCAGGGGTTGCTGGACGTGCTAGCAAGCGTTGATTTTAATCCGTCACGGATATTTTGGAGTTGCCAAGGTAGCTGCATGGCGATTGCAGCCTTGCTTTTCTCCCTCCTATCTTCCTATAGATATTATTAGTTGATTTCAAGACTGTATTAGTCTTAGCATTTTCAGACAGTTATTAGTAGATGCTCATGACTTGTGACGCCCCGATGTCGGGTTTTTCTTTCTGCACTTTATTATTCAGACTTATATTGTGAAGTTTTATTAATTAATAGCTTAAAGACATCTTCATTTTGGATTATCGGATTGTTTTGGTAAAAGAATCAGCTTGCCTAGTTCCACGTTAGGCGTTATCACAACATGGTAAATTTGAGTCGTGACACATCCCTATGTGTGTTCGGTGGGTGAAGAGAAGATGACAGTCTGCTCACTTTACGTAGAGAAATAGAACTCTTCAACTCCGTTTCCCTAGTAGAGTCCACAACGGTCTGCTAGTGCTTTGAACCAAATAGAAGCGGGGCGAAAGTGAAAACCCTCATTTCCTTTAAATTTATTTCAACAATTTAGTCAATCTGATTAACTTTTGGAACTAAACAGATAAAAATAGCTCATTTTTAAGAAAGAAATTCAAAAACTTTAGAAGAATACTAGAAACTGCAATTTCCTCGTATCATATAGTAGAAAACGATATACTATTAAAATGATAGTCAAAATTCACTTAATCTAGTTATACAATGTAGGGGTGTACATAGGTCGAGTTGGTTCGAATTTTTCAATTACCAAACCAATTATCTTGGAATTTTAAATCTATAAACTAAAACAAAACCAACAAAAGTCAGGGTTTCCAATCTCGATTTTTTTCGAATTTTTTGATTTTCTCAGATTTTTCGATTCTTTTCCGACAAAATCTTCATAGCATAAAATATATAATTTGTGCTCTAATATTTCTTAGGTCATAGTAGGATAAAAATATATAAGAAGTTACCTAATAAAATAATACAAAATAACGCAAGATGAGTCATGATTATACTAAAATACTCAACAATTCGCATAAAATAAATATCGTTAATTAATAAGCTATAATAAAAACAAACATATTCTTAAAGTACTAAGTCATGCTAAAATAAATGTGACTAATAAGTACTACAGGTATTAAGTACATGACTAAACAATATTAAAATTAAGTTATGCATTTTCACTATCTAAACCAATGTAAAACAAAAAAAAATCCAATACTATTGTCTTTTTTTGAGCAAACAGGAAATATATATATATATATATATATATATTAATAATTAAGTAGCATTTAGTACATGACTTGCATACTTGGTGTCACTAAGGACACTTTGATTTCCCAAGCTTGCAGTGTTCCAAGCTTCATAAGATAGAAATTTCACAAAAATATAGTATTGTAGTAGTTCCTTTTCCACAATACATTTTACATAACTTGAAGGTTCAACAAAAGTATTTTTGCCTTCCGTTTGATCCGCATCCTTCTTAGCTATCTGATGAGATATACTATTTCCTTGCCTGAATGTGTACTAGAGGATCATCTCCTTCTGCTGGTGCATTAACAACCTGCATTCATTAACAATGTCATCATATAATCTATTTCCCTATTGGATAGATTGAATAACCTCCACGGAATCTGTCTCTATTACAAGAGGGCGCATTCCCCATTCTTGAGCTGTTTTGAATCCCTCTAGTAGAGCTTTTATTTCTGCTTCTAATGATCTGCTTACATAAGATAGTTTTCCAAAGCCCACTATCCAATGTCCATTGACATTCCAGAATACACCTCCCAGACCATATTTTTGAGTACCACTGCCAAAACTAGCATCAATATTCAGTTTAAACCATCCTTTTGGTGGTTTGTGCCATCCAATTTTGATGGGAGTTTTTTGACGAATATGCATAATTTTTTCAGTGAGGAGTTTGAATTCAGTCGCCTTTTGAATAATATAATCACCATTAATAGGAATTGTAGTGTTGTTTTGATTGTTATTGTTCCTATTTAACCAAATGTACCATATAGCAAACGGAAAGAAAGAGTCTCAATTTATAAAATTATTTTTTATTGGGTAGTCAAAAGCTTTTAGCTGAATAAGCCAGTGTTCACCTTGGGTCTTATAGTAATGTTCCCACCCAAGACTGTCCCAAAATCTTTTAGAGGCTTTGCAATTAAAGAAGATGTGCACTATTGATTCCTCCTCATTACATTTGCATATAGGGCAATTTGAATCGATATTTAAGCCAATCTTGGCTAGGTATTGTGTACAAGATATCCTATTATGGAGACAATGCCACAAGAAGAATTTGATTTTATTGGGGCAAGCTAATTTTCAAATCCATTTGGAATCTACTAAGGTACTTTTCGGAGGCTCAATTAGGTTATAGCAAGTTTTGGTCGTAAAAAAATCCATTGTAGTTAGTGACCATATTGGAATGTCACTAGTTGTGCCCTTTAGGCGAATTCTTAACTTGGTGATGTTTTCTTTAGTGTCATCTGGAATGTTGAGGGAGATTTATCAAGTAACCAGTTTTTCCCATCAAAGATGTCCTTTAATTTTATGGAATAATCCTTTTATAAGAGGGGGCCCTCTATTGTTTTTCTAAGGTTTTCTACCTTTGGAATCCAATTGGTTTCCCATATGTTCATGTTGGAATGACGATAAGGTGACCAAATAATACCCTTAGAGCATAAATCCCATCCTTTTTAATGCTTTTCCAGATGAAAGAATTTTTATGTTTAGCATTACTAGTTGCACAGGAAGAGATCATTATTGTAGCTCAGAATGTGGTAGCATTAGTGAGTATTCTCCATACCATGCTAGCTAAGGTGCATAAATTTTTAGAATTTGCATTATGGATTGCAAGGTCTCCATTAGCTTTTGTTTGGCAAATAATAGACATTTAATAAGATGAATTTTCTTCCTTTCAGTGGTAGTACCCCCAGATGAATTTTTTTTGCACTTTATCAATTTTGTTAAGGATCTTTCTAGGAGTAATGTGTGTTGAATATAATAGTTTGGTATGGAGTTTAGGCTTGATTGAGAAAGGGTTGTTCTACCTGCTATATTAATGCACTTCATCTTCCAAGCTACTAGTTTAGTCCGCATTTTATCAATTATGAATTGGTAGTCCCTTGGCCTAGGGTATGTATTTAAAATAGGGAAGCCTAGGTAAGTACCAAAGAGTTCACTTTTTTTAATACCTAACGTATTGGTAACATCTTTAATGAGAGTTTCAGAACAATTTTTTGAAAAGAGAATTTTGGATTTAGTAGGGTTAATACATTGTCCTGAAAAATTGCAAAAGTAATCTAAACCACTCTTAATAGCATGGCATGATTTCTTATTGACCTTTGCATCAAGGTAAGATCATCTGTGAAGAATAAGTGGGAAAATTTCGATATTTTCTCCCTGTGGTTATTGAGTTCCAATTCCTAATATCAACTTGATGATTTATGTATCTTGATAGCATTTCTAAACAAAGGATGAAGATATGAGGAGATATGGGATCTCCTTGCCTGATTTCCCTACTTGGTTCAAAGAAGTTTGTAATGGAACCATTAACTAAAACTGCTATTGAACTTGTGGACATAAAATTTAATAGAAGCTTTGAGAATTTTGGAGGGAAGTTCAAATATTGAAGGGTCTGATGGACAAAAGACCACTCTAGCCGATCAAACGCTTTTTCTCGATCAATTTTAAGAATCATGTGACTTTATTTTCCTTTTAATTTCTTTAAGTTGGAAACTAGTTCTTGGATAATAACTGCATTGTTAGAAGCTCTTCTATTCTTCATGAAGTTTGCTTAAAAGTGGCTTATAATTTGTACAAGTAATGGCTTAAGACGATTTGCAAGAAATTTTGTAATTATTTTATAAATGGTGTTGCAAAGCCCAATTGGTTTGAAATTTCTAATGTTATTTTCATTTGGAATTTTTGGGATTAGACAAATATAGATTTTGTTGATTATTTTGGAAATTTCTTCTGTGCAAAAAATGTCATGACATAGTTTCACAACTAAAGGGCCTATAATATTCTAGTATTTTTGGTAGAAAAGGGGATGAAGTCCGTCTGGTCCTGGAGCTTTGAAAGGTTTAAAGGAAAAAATAGCCCTTTTAATTTCTATATGAAGCAAAGGATTATCTAATGAGCTTAGGTTTAAAAGACACGTGTTTAAGCTATAGTTTAGAGGACTAATCATGCTTGTTTTGTGGTGTGAAGTGGTGAAAATATTTGTGAAGTAGCTTTTTACATGAGACATAATTAAAAGGGGGTTGATCCAATTCCCTGCATCATCCTTAAAAAAAATTATCTTGTTTCTCCTTTTCCTATTTGAGGCACAAATATGAAAGAATTTTGTTTTAGCATCTCCCTCATTGAGCCACATTACCCTAGATCTTATTTTTCAATAACCCTCCTCAATCCTAAGCAGATCATTGTAGACCCTTTTTAAATCTTTTTCAAGAGTTTGGAGGAAAATACTAGAGGCATAATTTCTGGAATTTTGAATACCATTTAGCCGTGCTATAATTTTTCTTTTTTTTTTTTACCTATTATTTCACCAAATGTTATATTTTTCCAATCTCTAATGTTTAGCACAAAATTTTGGTTAGCTCTAAAGCAGTCAGAGTCACACCAATTATTTTTAACTATAGATTGAAATTCTGGGTGTTTACACCAAAAGTTTTCAAGCCTAAAGGGTTGTTTGTGAAGAATTCTATTTCTAGGGATTAATTCTATTAGGATAGGGTTATGATCCGAATAAGTTTTAAGGAGGTGAATTATACATCTTTTAGGGAATAAATCTACCCATTCCTCATTTCCTAATACTTTATCAAGTCTTTCCATTATAAGACCCTTATTTTTGTGTCTATGTGTAACGACCCGGTCGGTCGTTTCATGAATTACCGCTCTATTTCCCCCCATTTCTGCTTCCTATTGCTTTGTTTATCGGTACTATGTGTGATCGGGTTGGTTGGCTCTGGTTCGCAAAGGTTTTGGTAAGGATTGAGACACTTAGTCTTTTTTGAGTAAGCTTAAGTTGGAAAAGTCAACTGGATGTTGACTTATGTGTTAAAGGGCTCGGATGTGAATTTCGATGGTTCGAAAAACTTCGGGAGGTGATTTGGGACTTAGGAGTGTGATCGGAATGTATTTTGGAGGCCCAGAATGGATTTAGGCTTGAATTGGCGAAATTGGAATTTTGGCGTTTTCCGGTTGATAGGTGAGATTTTCATATAGGGGTAGGAATGGAATTCCGGAAGTTACAATAGGTTCATTATGTCATTTGGGAGGTGTGTGCAAAATTTTAGCTCATACGGACGTGGTTTCGTAGACGTTTTGATCAAAAGCGTAATTCAGAAGATTTTAAGAATCATAGGTTTGAATCTGATGTATTTTGGTTGATTCGATATTGTTTGAGGTGTTTCGAAGATTGGTATAAGTTTGGATTGTGGTATGTGACTTGGTTGTTCTTGTGGTTGAGGTCCCGGGGGCCTTAGAGTGATTTCAGATGGTTGGCGAAAAGTTTGGAAGTTGGAGGTGGCAGCTGAAGCTAAGTCTGCTATCATAACAGCATCTGCGGTTGGGAGGCCGCAGGTGCGACCCCCACAGATGAGGAAGAACAGTCACAGAAGAGGAAGGAGCCAAGGAAGGCAGAAACCGCAGAAGCGGTTGAGGAACAGCACCTGCGGTGGAGCAGGTGCAGGTTGTGCATCGCAGATGCGAAAGTTGAAGGTTTAAGTGATGACTGTAGAAGCGATGCTTGGGACCGCAGAAGCGGTATCACAGGAGCAAGTGCTGGACCGCAGGTGCGAAAAGCCTAGGCCAGAAGGTATAAAAGAATTCCTTCGCGATTCTTGAGTTGTTCTTCACCATTTCAAGTCGGTTTTGGAGCTTTTTGGGAGCGTTTGAAGAGGGATTCAAGGGATAACGTCTGGAGGTAAGATTTTTAAACCGAATAATCGATACTAAGGCATTATTTCATTGATTTGTCCTAAGATTAATGGAAATTAATGGGTTAAAAATTGGGGATTAAGGCTTGGTATTGGAGACCTTGACTTGAGGATTTGAGAGGCCATTTGTAATCAGATTTTGGGACTTTTGATATGTATGAACTCATGGGGAGATAAGGAATCTATTGATGTAAATTTTATCGAATTCCGAGACATGGGCTCGGGGGTCGGGTTTTGGTTAATTTCGGATTTTATGTTGTAAATTGATTATTTTTGCATGGGCTTCATTCCTTTAGCATATATTGACGTCGTGATTCTAATTTTGGGTAGATTCGACGCGAGTTGAGACCGATTCAAGGGGCAAAGGCATCGCGGCTAGAGTTTGGACAAGATCGAGGTGAGTAATGATTTTAAATGTTATCCTGAGGGTATGAAACCCTAGATTACACATCGTTGTACTATATTGAGGTGATGTACATGCTAGATGATGCGCGTGGGGTCATGCACCGTTGGGGATTGTGACTTAGTCCATCCCGAATGACTATTTTACCGCGTATTTGATTGAAAACTGTTTGCTATCATTATGTTTTGGGCTGAATGCCATATTTGGGCTTCGTGCTAACTATTTGAACCCTTATGGGATTTTTACTGATATTTCCTCACTGTTTTGATTTTACATCTGTACTCAGTCATGCTATATTATACTATTTTCATAATTCAGCCATGTTTACTCTGTTTTAACACATTAAATGATATTTTGGGCTGAGCGTCATGTTTTACTGTGCCCTAGTAGCTTTTAGAGATTTCTGACTGAGTAGGGGAGAGGGCCTGTGTTGTGAGGTTAATGAGCTGATTTATGATTTTCAGACCGAGGGCGTGAGTTGTACACCACGAGGTGGCTTGATATATGGCCGAGAGCCTATTGATTATGCCACGAGATGACTTGATATT